ATATGAAGTAAAGAGTCAGAGCCGCTTTACCGACGACACGGCCGACTCAAGTATTTAAAACCTTTACCGGTTCCAGCACTTTTAATTGGAACGTTAACTTCTAAAGTTGTATGGATATATGGAGTTGAGTAATTTGAAGATTGATTGATTGATTGTGTATTGTTTAACGTCCCTCTCGAGAATTTTTCACTCATATGGAGACGCCACCACTTAACGGTGGAGGGCTTTAAATTTTGTCCTATGCTTGGCACCAGGGCCTTTGAGCAGTGAGGGATCTTTTTCGTGTCAACTCCTACTGCGACACGGGGCCTCGATTAAAACGGTCTCATCCGAAGCACCGGTCTCCACGTCCCGCAGAGGGATTCGAACCCGCGATGTAAGGATTGACTCATAACTTCGGGCTCTAGAGCAGACGCTCTAAACACTGCGCCACGCGGACGACAATAATTTTAAAAAGAATTTATTTTAATTATATTTCAATTTAATTTTTGAATGTTTCCATTGATATTATTTTGCATTTCATGGTATTTGGATTCAATTTTGAATGAGTTGTTTTTCTTTGTAATTTTCTGGTGTTATTTCATTTTTCAATATTAATTGTAGGTACTATAGCAAATATAATTTTATTTCCATTTTTCTCTATTGATGTTTTCATATGTTCGATGTAAGTAATACAATCTGGCATATTAAAATTTTCTTCTATAATAAGTTATTCACAATTTATTTCTCTTTTGAAACAAGTAAAATCGTTATTTCCTGTATATACATAAATGATTATTGATTTCATTGTTAACAAATTGAAGTATAGTTGGAAGAATGATGACAATCGTGACTCCTGGGAATGTTTCTATATGTACATTGTCAACAGACACATTTTTTCCTCTGCTGTCCGCAAAAATTTGTACAGATTCCATATCTCTTTGTGGAGAGGAATTCTACTGCTTTAGTTGGAACTCAAAGGCAAGTGAGATCTAACATTAAGGGTTCGATCGTCATGGGGTAAACATGTTCAAAAAATTATCTCTACAATGTTGGTTTTCACAAAAAGGGCAGAATTAAGCAGGTGCATTTTTCTTTAAAATATGCACATTTCTTGACACAATTTTTATCAAAAATATCTTGTTTTAAGGTTGAATGCCACATCAACCTTTTCATTTTATAGATCTTCGAGTTATCCTTTTAAAACAAGGGTTTTGGCATTGAAAAGTGGATATTCTGTCGCTTCTATTGCTTGTAAATCTTAACCTGAGTTCACTTTTATGCATTTATTTCCATGCAATTTTCGCATGCAGCATAGGGTATACCTGACACTCACTTTTCTAAAGCCAAAATGAGGTCAAGGTCAGGTCACTGAGGTCAAGGTCACCAAAGTAGGTCAGGTCAACACTAGTCACCGAGGTCATAGGCACCTAAGTAGGTCAAAACACGGAGGCTTAGGTCACTTTAGTAGGTCAGGTCAAATAATAAATCAGGTCAACCTGGTTATAGGCTGACCTACTCTTTGTATGACCTGACCAAGCTGTGACCTGACTTGTGCATGATGACCTAGGACGGTTTTTGCTGACCTTAATAGTTTCATATGATACATGACCTATTAAGTTGACCTGACCTACTAAAATCCACTAGTTAAGCTGAGATCGATAACAAGACATTTTGCTGACCTAAATATACATAAGTATGTTAGGTAAGTCTTTTCCTCAGGATACATGACCTATTAAGTTGACCTGACCTACTAAATTCTACTATTTAAGCTGAGAGCGATAATGAAATATCCATGAACGTCATTGGACTCTAATGTTTCAATGAAAGGTATATACTTAAGGTAAGAAAAACATTTTTTTTTTACCACTACAAAAATGCATTTAAAAAAAAAATAATGCTGTGTAAATATATATATATATTTATTATTCAAAATAAGACCACAACATGAATAGATAATAATCAACGAGGAAAAATCTTTTTTTTTTAACGAAAAAACATACAAAATGCACCCTCCAATTTAATTATTAACATATTTTTCAACCTTAATACAATACATTTTGGAGTGTCTATTGAGTCAAACAAGAGATTTTTAAACATTTTTTTTTAGAACTCTTTAAGATGATTTTTACAATCTAAAGTAGCAAACTGCACTCTTCTGGATGTGAAGTACTTGTCAATGTAATCTATGATCATTTTAACTTGTTCCAAATTGCGCCGCATTGTTACTTCAAGATCCCTTAGTGCCTCCAGTTCCTTGTGCAAAACTAAGTCAAACAAAGATTTTTAAACATTTTTTAGAACTCTTTAAGATGATTTTTTTTTTCAATCTAAAGTAGCAAACTGCACTCTTCTGGATCTGAAGTACTTGTCAATGTAATCTATGATCATTTTAACTTGTTCCAAATTCCGCCGCATTGTTACTTCAAGATCCCTTAGTGCCTCCAGTTCCTTGTGCAAGGGGTACGGAGGGGGTGCCGGAGTTTTTTCCACCATTCTTCTTTTTAGAGCACGTCGTCTTCTGTTTAAAGAAAATTAGATACATTTGTAGAATGATCATTTGGTATTTGATAATAATATTAAATTTAAAGTAAGTGGTTTTTTAAAAAAAAAATGTAAAAATATTTTATAAAGTGGGTTGAATTCAGTTATATCTATATTTTCGTAAGAAACTGATTATTCGCCTTTATATTTCATGTGAGTGAAAAGAATTGAACAAGAGAATTGTTTCTAATCCTATGATTAAATTAAAGTAAAAAGATTTGTACCTTAATTCTGTTATTATGGAGTCCTCTGCCTCCACAAAAGTTGCCAGGTCAGTGGAACTTGTTGAAGTGTCCCTGTAGCTACGTGTAGCTGTGTTGTTACTGGTTGATTGCAACATTTGGGGATCCCAAGACCTCAAATGTTGAGGATGCGCAGCCTTATACGTATGTTTTTTCATTGGTGAAGGCGAATTTGCTATCAGATAACCATCTGTGGTTGTCTTCAGAGAATATCTGTAAAAATGAACAGAGAACAATTTCAACAAAAAAAAATGCAACTATACGCTGTAAATGCTGTTATATCATGATTCTAAATTGTTTTCACTGTATACATGTGCCTCTCAAGGGACCCTTGCGTGGTGAATAAATAGACATAATAATAATAAAGTAAATCAAAAGGAATGTTAACCGTTTTTGTCTAAGTCCCGATGCAAATAATCTTTAAAATTACAAAATTCATTTATTTTCAAGGAAATTGAATTAAACCATACAATTAAGCCTTTAAATTTCTCCTACCTCTGTATAGGTGCTCCTATATTACTTTTCTCAATTAATTCCTCCACTTCAACGGAACTTAGAGGCGAAAATCTGTAAGAATATAACTCGTGTGAAAGTCAAGGACTAGATAAAATGTAAATATTCCTCCTTAAGGACCCTTTCTACACAAGTGATTTTTTTTTTTTTGGACATTGAGAAAAATATATTGTATAAAGGAGTTAATATTGAGCTTATTTATTTAATTATCACCGTATGGTGCGTGGCATTTACCCCAGGAAAAATGTTCAAAGACAATACAGGATCAGTGAATAGAAATCAATGTTAATTACTTCAATAGAGAATTAAAATACATGTGAATTACGCGTTCAGTTAATTTATCTTGGTCCTTTAAAATGTTAAAAATACTTGATTTCATTACTAATTGAGTGATATATTGTAAATTTCTATTATTTAGAATTTAGATCTAAGGGCAGATCACTCTAACTGCAGAAAAATACCTTAGAAACAGAACTGTAGAGAGGGTTCTTAACTACATGTTTTCAATAACATTTGTGTAGTTGTCATATAACTTTAAAATTTGATTTAAAATGTACTTACCCAGGTTCAAAATCGTCCAGATGTAATTGATCTTTTAAATCATTCCACTTCGATTCAAAATCTCCAAATTTTTCTATGCTTTGTTTTAACGCCTTTTCTGTCTCTTGTTGTTTTTCCGCCAATGATAGTTGTTGTTGTTGTTGGGGCTGTTGCTGTTGTTGTTGGGGCTGTTGTTGTTGAGTCGGTTGCTCAAGCATCTTTCTCAACGCAGGCATCGTACAAGATTTTGATGCATCAATTTTTCTCAGCTGTTCACTATTTAAAAAAAAAACAATTACACTGATGCATTCTTTGTGAACTGATTAATTCAGGGGGAAATGAAAAAAAAAATTAAAAGTGAATTGTTTAGATTGCATGATAAAAAAAAATACATTCATACCTATAATAAAATTTTATGTAACAAAATAATAATAATAATAAAACTTACGCATGTATTATTTGAGCCTCTGTCATTTTTTCTGCCGTGGAGAGTGCCGGGGTAGGTAGAAATACTCAAACTTCAATTTTCAAAATCGTTTTTTTTTACTGAAGTCAAATTTAAGGTAACTTTTCACAGACAACTTTTAACAGACTACTGAGTGACTCGGAGTCTGAAGGATGAACGAAAAAGAAATTGAGAGTCTTTATATAGGGTTTGAATAATTAATTTATTTGGTTCATAAGTTCTCACAACTCAGCAAATACTTTGGTTTCTCACAAGTCAGCAAATACCTACACGTACATCAGATAGATTTGTTGAAGAATCTATAAATGATTATCTAATTACCAGGAGACTAGTATTAGGTTATCTATTTTCCAGTTAACTTACATAAGTTACAAGGTATTTTCTCGAGCTTGTTCCTTGTTGAATATAATTTTATCAAAGAGAAAGGGGAATAATGTAAAATAACATTAAAATCATTTAATCAGGAATCCATATATATATATATATATATATATATATATATATATATATATATATATATATATATATATATATATATATATATATATATATATATATATATATATATATATATATATATATATATATATATATATATATATTTAATAAAACACATTCCATAATAACTGCGTTTTCCAATTTCAAATCCGGAAATAAAAAATCAATATGGGTTCAAACTTTAAGTCATTTGGCGCGCTTTTAGTAAGCCTTGCAAGATGGAGAGGAAAAAGTCACGCTCGTCATCATGGTCGCGTATTTTACCATGCTTAGTTACAATGATCGTGTCTGTAGGCCTAGTAAATGCACAATGCGACAATTGTCGCATTGTGGGGAATGTTGCTAACTGCCTAGAAGCTAGGCGGAATTGTGTCTGGATACATACAGATCGTGTGACTGAAGTGTACGTTCGAAGATGCGACGTCGAGGTCGTATTTTCCCCGCCATTGCTACATGTACCATTGCCCAATATAAGAACAGCATACCACAGATGTGCAATCAGTAAGTATGATTGAATATTGTATTGAACAGTGAATGTGTCAATCAGCATTATTGCATTTTGAGATTTCCCATCATTGCTTCAAGTGTTTGACCTTGATCTCCTAGCTCTTGATTTTCATTGGTAGAACCGCGTTAACCTTCACCTTTAGGAAACGGGGATATTTTCAAAAAGGTTTTTTTTAAACAAGCAAGTGTAGAAATAAATAAATGATAAAAAAAAAAATCAACATATTTTTATTTTATAAATTATGAAGACTATTCTGGTATGAGAGAGACATACTTGGATAAATCTAATTATGTCTAATTGAAAAAAAAAATAGGGCATCTTCAAAATGATGATGTGTAAAGTACACAGCAGAATTTTTTTTGCTTAGCTCAGCTCTGACCTGGAATGTCTGGTCTCTTATCAACCCAGAATCAACTAATGATAATTAGATCAAAGAAAGGGGAGAAGAATCAATGCCTAAAAATATAGAAACAAGACATTTGTTTTATTAGACAGTTATCTGTTGAACCTTTGTGTACATATGTTTGTGTGAGAGAGAGAGAGAGAGAGAGAGAGAGAGAGATTGAAAATAAAAAAATATACTAGAAATCATAAAAATATTAGATATATTTATGTTATAAAGAAAATAGTAAAAGATCACTATGATTAAATATAAAATATAAATAAAGAAATTAATAATTAAGTGGTTTTACATGACCAATATCAGAAATTCATTATTTGTAAAAAAAAAAGAATAAAAAATGAAATCAAGTTGGATGACATATTTACTTTCAATTTTTTAATCTGAAATAGATAAAGAAACAACTACCAAATTGAGAACTACCATGGGATTGGGAACAACAACTGAGGAACTCATCACTACCAAAAGTCCGACCATGAAAACAGAATCGACAACTAAGGCGAGACTTGTAACACTAACTACCAAAAGTCCGACCATGAGAACAGCATCGACAACTAAGGCGAGACTTGTAACACTAACTACCAAAAGTCCGACCATGAGAACAGCATCGACAACTAAGGCGAGACATGTAACACTAACTACCAAAAGTCCGACCATGAGAACAGCATCGACAACTAAGGCGAGACTTGTAACACTAACTACCAAAAGTCCGACCATGAGAACAGCATCGACAACTAAGGCGAGACTTGTAACATTAACTACCAAAAGTCCGACCATGAAAACAGCATCGACAACTAAGGCGAGACTTGTAACACTTACTACAGCAGATACCAAAAGTCCGACCATTTCAGCATCGACAACTAAGGCGAGACTTGTAACAAAATTACCAAAATATATGAGAACATAATCGACAACTAAGGCGAATTTCATCAAAGGCTTATTAGAGATATCCGTAAAGTGGTTATTAAAAGTATTTGCAATATCCTGTAAATTATCAACAATTTCCCCATTAGAAAACACATGAGATGGTGTTATGTTCTTTGAATTACATATTAATTGATTAAGATAGTTCCACATTTCTTTGGGATTTGAACTTTGTTCAAAAGCTGTTTTATAGTAAGACGATTTTGATTTGTCTATAAGAAGACTAACTTTGTTTCGATAAATTCTATAGTTCTCCATATCTCCTTCTTTATGGTAAGAGTCCCTCAAATGTCTAGCATTGTTTATTTCTTGTGTCATCCATTTAGGGCGGATTTCGCTCTTTACGCGTTTTGTTTTAACCTTTGCATGCTGGTCAAGTATACTATTAAATAAATCATAGAATTCAGTCAGTATTTTATTAGGGTCATGCATCTGGAGGAGATTGTTAAAGTCTACATCTTTTAAGTCGTGAAGGAATTTATTTTCATCGAACTTTTTGAAGTCTCTGTACTCTATTTCTACGTGTTTTCCTCTTTGTTGCATGCATTTTGTTTTTCTAGTGGCACATATTGGGTAATGGTCAGAGATGGCAATAAAAGGTACATTTACTTCACACATGTTATCTGGTTTATTGGTGTAGAAGTGATCTATTAGTGTACTTGAAGTATAGTTACTCTGGTTGCTGCTGTAATTAATTGTGAAAAATCAAATTCTTCTAAAGCATATGTCCAACTTTGTGGCGGTTCTTTGAATAAGTCTACATTAATGTCACCTGTTAGATAATTTCTGCATTGTCACAGCAGGAGGCACAGTTAATCTCTCTAGCCAGGTCCTCCGCCCAGCAGGAGGGAGCAGATGGTGGACGATACGCTGAACAATAATAAACTGGTTTAGAATTCTTTTGAATTTAATTCGAGCCAGATTGTTTCAATATCACCAATTTCAAAATCAGTTCTACGCTTGTATCTTATATTATCGGAGATATATACTACAATTCCACCACCTGCCCTAAGAATGCGATCCTTCCTTTCCATTTCAAAGCCATCAATATTCAACTCAGAATCACTAATGTTATCATTCAAAAAGGTTTCACAAAGTCCTAAGATATTAAGATCTTGTTTGTTTTGAAGCAGAATTTTAATTTCTTCAATTTTTGGCATTAGGTGGCAAATGTTAAGGTTTCCAAATTTTAATCCCTTTTTCATCAAACCAAAATTACTTTTACTTGTTACACTATCATTTTTTGTTGTAAATACAGTTGATTCGTCTGATTTTTGTGAAACCTTCTTGGCAGCAAAATTAGGCCTATTAATATTTTTCTCTGTCTTAATGAATTTATGCAAATAAGATAAAGTGTATTTAATGTATAATGACGATATTTTGTACATAGTAAATGCATGATCCCATATTTTTAATCGTGGTCGTATTTTAAAGATGTTATCAAATAAAAATGCTCCACCAAAGGAATTTACAAAATTTTTGTCCAATTAATTGCACCTTGAATTTTACACTGAAGTCTATGAACAGTGTATGTTTTTATCGGATATTGTAAAAGGCAATTTAAATTTCAAACAAATATCTTGGTGAAAATATGCATAAACTCCCTCTTTATAACTATGAAATAGAATAAATTTTTTGAGAGATCAAAGTCTAATAACTCTTCCAAAACTTTAAACGTGCAAAATGACTATCTCCTTAATAAGAATATTTAAATAAGAAAATAAATAATGTAAATATGTAAATAAGAATAAATTATTTACCGCAAAAATTTCGAGAAATCAGAAATTTCCTTTTTTTCATAAAGGGTTAATAACTCTTTCAAAACCTTTTTAAACATGCAAAATGACCGTCTCCTTACATGTTATCAGTCTTGTGAATTTGGTTCATTTCAATTTTCTCTTTTTCTAGCAATGCGTTTTAACTACTAGTAGTTGAGAATTATTTAAAATCATTCAAAATCCCTTCATTATACATTGAATACCTTAAGAAAAAAAAAATCACAACTTTAATCAAAAGGAATGATAAGAATTACCAACTAGATATCATTGAGATGGTGACCATCTCAAAGGGCCCCGCTTTCAACAATGAACATGAAAATGTAAGGTTAAAGCAATATGAGCTGCATGTTTGACATTTGAAAATTTTATTGAAAATTTGTAATCAACTAATTTAATGACAGAAAGATAAATTATTTATAAACTTCTGTTGCTCATATTTGCAATGGATTTTTTTTATTAGCTTTGATTGAAGCAAAATTGAATTATTGTCGCCCTGTACAATAATGATTTCTTATATAAAACTGTATATTCGGTTGTATAGAAATATTTCTTCTGAAACAATTTTAAACTTTATTTTGGGCTCATTGATCATAAAAGTTTAAATTACATACAAATTGATCATAATAGCACATTTTACCATAAAAATAAAATTCTCAAAGATACAGCTCATATTGCTTTAAGTTTAAAAGGTATATTTTGAAAAGGAACATTTGTGTACTACAGTGAAAGTAATTTAGTATGACTTCACAGATACTGCAATTTTACAGATATAAGTTATCTTGTATCCTCAGTTATATAAATTTACTGGTATTAAGGGAAAAAATTATGCACCAAGCAAATATTTTAAACATAGAGGCTAATTCTGACTATGACCTAGAAACTTCGACCAATTAAAGTCACTACACATCCACTGACCAGTGGCACTCTGTGAGTGAAAAATGAGCCAGATTGGGCCAAGGAGAGAGAGGAAATGCTCCAAACAAGGATTTTTCATATGAGTCTGCTATGACCTTTGACCTAGAAACATCGTTCAAGGTCACTGCACACCGGTTACCCAAAAGCACTCTGTGGGTGAAGTATGAGCCAGATTGGGCCAAGGAGAGAAAAGATATGATCCAGAGAAGGATTTTTCACACAACTCTGCTATGACCTTGACCTTTGACCTAGAAACATGGATCAAGGTCACTGCAAACCAGTTACCCAAGGGCACTCTTTGAGTGACGTAGGAGCCAGATTGGGCGAAGGGGAGAGAAGATATGCTCCGGACAAGGAGTTTTCACACAATTCTGCTATGACCTTGACCTTTGACCTAGAAACATGGTTCAAGGTCACTGCACACCGGTTACCCAAGGGCACTCTTTGAGTGACATATGAGCCAGATTGGGCCAAGGGGAGAGAAGATATGCTCCGGACAAGGATTTTACACACAATTCTGCTATGACCTTGACCTTTGACCTAGAAACATGGTTCAAGGTCACTGCACACCGATTACCCATGGACACTTTGTGGGTGAAGTATGAGCCAGATTGGGCCAAGGGGAGAGAAGATATGCTCCGGACAAGTATTTTTCACACAATTCTGCTATGACCTTGACCTTTGACCTAGAAACATGGTTCAAGGACACTTCACACCGGTTACCCATGGGCACTTTGTGGGTGAAGTATGAGCCAGATTGGGCCAAGGGGAGAGAGAGATATGCTCCGGACAAGTATTTTTCACACAATTCTGCTATGACCTTGACCTTTGACCTAGAAACATGGTTCAAGGTCACTTCACACCGGTTACCCATGGGCACTTTGTGGGTGAAGTATGAGCCAGATTGGGCCAAGGGGAGAGATGATATGCTCCGGACAAGAGATCTCGGACGGACTGACGGACGGACAGCCGGACGGACAGACTGATCACTATAGGGCGCCCGCCGAGCGGGGCCCTAAACAAAAGTGTAAATGTGAACCGCTATAAAATTGAACACATTTCTTTTACTGCACAAGGTAAAATCACAATTCGATCACACAGAATGAAAATATTAAGGACCATGAGCTAAAAAATGTTAATGTAATGAGAACTTCAGCACATTTGAAGCTCATTAAGCAAAAAACTCTATTTCCCTTAATTTTACAACTAAGTGAGTAAATTCTAGAAAAAAAGTACATAAAAGAATTCACAGTGCAACTTGGAATGAAAAATAGAGGAATGATTGTCCAAGGCTTTCTACTGTATCCAAACAAAAAAACACCAACCAACAAACTCTTGATAATTTAAAACCATACAACTGAGACGAGTTGCTTCCCGCAGGAAAAAAGGTTTTTCATTTACGTCCATGGTTTGTTGCGTGCAGCCCTAAATGGAAGTTTTCTTTTTGGCTTGGATTTTGGATCGAGGGGTCTCTTTGGTGTTGTATGTTCATCAGGACCTGGAGAAACTTGAGTTTCATTGTCCATCACCTAAACAAAAAGTGAAGTGGAAGAGCCTGAACCAGGTAAACTGGTAGAGATGGAGGCTGGCACAAGAAGCACGGATTGTATAGGTGACGTGGTAGAGGTAGTTGAGTCTGAGCGGGACTTACACTTCCGTACAAGAACAGCTACGATCATAATAATAATCAAAATGGGTGTTGCCAGTTCTGCTACTTTCATAATTATACCTGAAATAAAAAAGATAAATTTTACACACTGAACTAATTAAACTTTCTTTCTTTTAATCTTATTTAACTTGAAAGTTTGAATTTAAAAAAAAACTTGCAAATTTTTTTTCCAAGTCAAAGTTCTAAAAATTACCCATGCTCAAAGTCTGTCCAGAAGATTTAGTTCCCGACACCTGTTCAACTTTCTTCTCATCTTCAGCTGCACTAGACAAAATACTGGGTTTTGTGGCGGTACCTTGAATGACACTCCGGATTGTAAAAATGCCTGAAAAATAAATAAGGTTAATAAAATATCCTAATCTAAATGTTTTTTTTTTCAGATCAATAAAAATTAATAGTACAAACAGTTCACTAATTATATCAATTTTCTTTACAATTCTACTCTATTTCAATCTTCTTTACAATTCTACTCTATTATAAAATTACTATGGGGGTCTGGGGTGCCAGCCTTACTGTGGAGTGTGTGTGGATGCCGTACTGGGGGTTCTCTTCTACCGGTCGTACTTTGGAAGTCTGTGGACGCCGTACTGTTGGGTTCTCTGGTGTAGGGGTCTATGGTACTAGCTGTTCTTTGGGTGTCTAAGATTCTTGTGGTTGTAATAATGTCTGAAAATTCATTATTTCGTTTTATCTTAATATCCTTACTTAGAATATGCTTTTTTAGATCATACAATAGAAAAAAATTTTGCATAATGCAGATGTTAATTCATTTTCTCTTCACAATTCCACATGTTAACAACTTCCTTTCTTGAAATATAAAAAAAAATCCCACATCCTCCATTATCATCTTATCCCATTAAATTAGTTAACCTTTAAATAGAACAAGTGAAGGTTTGACATTCAACAAAAAATGGCGCCAAAATAAATGATCTAGGCCATGGCAATGTGGCACCCTTTTCCCTTCCTTCTTTTGAACTTATTTCCATTAATATCCCCTCCCCCAGCCTACTTTACGAACTTAAGTCTTATTAGTTGAGTAAATTAAATAAAGTAAACTTACCACAGTTTGCACGGTTGGCTGTTTTGATCACAGCACGTGGCCCCGTTGATGGAAAAAAAGAAAATTGCATCTCCTTGCCAACACGGTTGTTACAAACCCGTACACCCTGTAACATGGTGCCGGCATCAAACATTTTGCAGTCGTCGATAATTTGGAACATTTAGTACACATCGGATCGGCGATACTTGACCTTAAACATATTAGTACTGATGCAGCTAAAATCCACATGCTGCAGCTAAACACCATGTTTTTTGAAGTAACGAGGTTAACCAAATATGCGCGGATCTCAAAATTCACAAAGACCAAAAGTACATTAGATCTGAGTACTAATAGTTTAAGATATAACAATGCACTGAATTTACCGACAAATATACGTTGAAACAATAATTATAATCATGATAAAAGGAAGAATTATAATAAATAAATAATTTATTTACCACTCTTATATATACCTTTATC